GCCCGTCTCGGCCTCCCTAAGTGCTGGGATTACAGGCTTGAGCCACCGCGCCCGGCAGATTAATTCTTTACCATGTCAGGTAAAACTAAACATATTCCGTGGCACCTAAAACTTGATATTTAGCATTTTAAAACTTCTCTGCCTTTTTTTCTTTTTCTGAGACATAGTCTCACTCTGTTTCCCAGGCTGGAGTGCAGTGGTACGATCTTGGCTCACTGCAACCTCCACCTCCCGAGTTCAAGCGATTCTCCCACCTCAGCCTCCAGAGTAGCTGGAATTGCAGGCATGCACCACCACACCCGGCTAATTTTTGTATTTTTAGTAGAGAGGGAGTTTCACCATGCTGGCCAGGCTTCTCTCGAACTCCTGACCTCACGTGATTCACCTGCCTCAGCCTCCCAAAGTGCTGGGATTACAGGCGTGAGCCACCCCGCCCAGCCGACATCTGATTTTAACCCTGCATTCTGATGTGCATTGTCAGGGTCAAAAAGATTTTCTAAGACGGAGGAGCACTATGGCCAAGTGTCCTTTTATGATATCCACAGAATTCAAAATAGCAGAGCCTGAAAGACACTAACTTTATCCTATCATATGTGACTGTGGAAAGCACCCTTCACAGCCATGGTCCCACACTTGTCTTCTTACTGTGGAGTATGTCTGTGTTGGTGACTTCAGCTAAACGTGTTCCCCAGGGATAAATGCAACAGCCCATACAAAATCAGGCATGAGGACACAGTCCAACAACTTCGTGTGTAAATGAAGTTACACATTCATCGTCAGTTGCTTGTTAAAAAAAAAAAAAAAAGTCTCCCCACAGATTTATTGACTTTATCATGTAGGATCTGTATCTGTGTGTGTGTAATTTGAAGTAGGCTTGATTTATAAGGTTTGCTATAGCTAACATTTAAAGAAATGTTTAAACTAGGCACAGTGGTGCACACCTGTAGTCCTAGCTACACAGAAGGCTAAGGCAAGAGGACTGTTTGAGGCCAGGAGTTCAAGTTCAGTTTGGACTTCATAAGATCCCATCCATTTAAACAAAAGAAAAAGAAAAAGGGTCTGGGCACAGTGGCTCACATCTGTAATCCCAGCACTTTGGGAGGCCAAGGCAAGTGGATCACCTGAAGTCAGGAGTTCGAGACCAGCCTAGCCAACATGGTGAAACCCCATCTCTACTAAAAATACAAAAATTAGCTGGGCGTGGTGGCGGGCGCCTGTAGTCCCAGCTACTCGGGAGGCTGAGGCACGAGAATCGCTTGAACCCAGGAGGCAGAGGTTGCAGTGAGCCAAGATTGCACCACTGCACTCCAGCCTGGGCAACAGAGTGAGAGACTAGGTCTCAAAAAAATTTTTTAAAAAGAAAAAATGTTTAATGGTAGTTTGTGGTACTTTTTAATGTATTTACTAAATTATGAGTTGACCATTTTTTGTTAAATAGAAAGTATTTATAATAGGGCAGGAGCAGTGGCTCCCACCTGTAATCCCAGCACTTTGGGAGGCCAAGGCGGACAGATCACTTGAGGTCAGGAGTTCAAGACCAGCCTGGCCAACATGGCGAAACCCCATCTCTACTAAAAATACAAAAATTAGCCAGGCATGGTGGTGTGCACCTGTAGTCCCAGCTACTCAGGAGGCTGAGGCACAAGAATAACTTGAACCCAGGAGGCAGAGGTTGCAGTGAGCTGAGATTGTGCCACTACACTCCAACCTGGGCAACAGAGACTTTGTCTCAAAAAAAAGTATTTATGGCCTTGTGCGGTGGCTCATGCCTGGAATCCCAGCACTTTGGGAGGCCGAGACGGGCGAATCACGAGGTCAGGAGATCGAGACCATCCTGGCTAACACGGTGAAACCCCATCTCTACTAAAAATACAAAAATTATCTGGGCATGGTGGCGGGCACCTGTAGTCCCACCTACTCGGGAGGCTGAGGCAAGAGAATGGCGCGAACCCAGGAGGTGGAGCTTGCAGTGAGCAGAGATCGCGCCAGTGCACTCAAGCCTGGGCGACAAAGCAAGACTCTGTCTCAAAAAAAAAAGTATTCATAATATTATCAAATGATGACTTTTAACCTCCATAGAACCAAAAATAGTTTATTCCAAATGAGCAGTCTGTCCTAAAGGGGAGTGTCCTTCCTTTATGAAGTATTTATTGAGGAGTTGTTTACTGGGAGTGGCATTTTCCTTTTTTTTTTTTTTTTTTTGAAACGGAGTCTTCCTCTGTTGCCCAGGCTGGAGTGCAGTGGCGCAATCTCGGCTCACTGCAGCCTCCACCTCCCAGGTTCAAGCGATTCTCCTGCCTCAACCTCCCGAGTAGATGGTATTACAGGCACGTGCCACCACACCTGGCTAATTTTTGTGTTTTCAGTAGAGACAGGGTTTCACCATCTTGACCAGGCTGGTCTCAAACTCCTGACCCCGTGATCCACCCACCTCAGCCTCCCAAAGTGCTGGGATTACAGCCATCAGCCACCACGCCCGGCCGGGAGTGGCCCTTTCTAATTTACAGCCCTGTTAACCCACATTGGCCATGGCCTGTTTGCAACCCCAACAGCATCATAGCAGCACACGTTATGATGTGTCTCGTGATTATGCCATTTCCTCAAGTTTTACCTCCTGCAACTTAAAGGCAGGTTTTGCAGCAACTTTTTGGTAAACTGTCAACTAGTAACTTGCTGTTGGACTGTACTCCAAGTGAGGTGCTATGAGGAGCCCTGGAAGGACCCAAGGGCAGAGTAGTGAAGGCCGACTTGAACTTCCAGAAGCAATGAGTGGAAAACATCTTCCTGCTACACCCTGAGCAATACAGTTATGAAGAATAAATAGATATTAGCAGCTTCTAGACTTTTCTCTGAATTTTCATCACGTAAAATATCTCCTTGTGAAATTCTGGCTTATTGAGGACAAAGAAGATTCTGGAACACAAACCCCAAACAGCGCATCTTTGGAAACCTGCCACTTTTCAACATAAGAAGTAATCCACACTTCAGGGGCTATCACAGAGCCACAGTTCCACTTTGAACCCTTCAGAAGTGACAAAGACCAGATGTGGCCCAGTATGTGAGGCAAGGAGGAAGTAGGAATTTCATGCTATTTTCAGGTTGCTTAGTGTACTTTAACTGAATGTGTAATAAAAGCAGATTCTAATAAATTGGTTGTTAATAATTTCCTATAGTGATGTTACCTAGGTTTTCTATAGCAATGAATGTTTCATCGTGTTTTAAATGTATCTTGTGAAAAATTCCAGAGGAAAGCTCTGCTGTCATGAGCACTGATACTTCATCTTAAGAATCCTAATAAGTAGAATTCCTAGCAGCAGACAAGATCTTTCCAGGGCTTCTGATTTGTCAATGTGAAAATAAGGACTTCCTCCCCTCCATCTCCCATGTCCCACTGGAGGGTTAACCTGTTGAGTTGCTTATGCGTGCCCAGCAAACGGAATCATGATGTCGGGTGCTCTCAAGAAGCTGCTGTATACTAATCTGCCTATACACTTACATGTTTTAGGTTAAGTGAACCAAGTTTGGGTTTTATAAACTGGTCACTACAGGCAACTGCATCTGAAGATGCCAACAATAGTTTAAGAGAATCTTGCTTTGAAACCAGTTGTGGGTGGAGTAAAGAGGCACCATGGTGTGGCATTTATGCAATCAGGGGTTCAAATCGAGTTACTTCTGTTGCAACATTTGGTAAGCCGACTCAGTAATCATCGTTAGAAATCATGATGGTTTCAGTGTTCAAACACTATACACTTGGAAACATAAATGTCCATCTTTGATAGTTTTGTTTGTTTGTTTGTTTTGAGACGGAGTCTTGCTCTTGTTGCCCAGGCTGGAGCGCAATGGCACCACCTCAGCTCACTGCAACCTCCGCCGTTCAAGCGATTCTCCTGCCTCAACCTCCCAAGTATCTGGGATTACAGGCACCCGCCACCACACCCGGCTAATGTTTTATATTTTTAGTAGAGATGGGGTTTCACCATGTTGGCCAGGCTGGTCTCTAACTCCTGACATCAGGTGATCCACCAACCTTGGCCTCCCAAAGTGCTGGGATTACAGGTATGAGCTACCACACCTGGCCTCTGGTGGTTTCGGGTTCATGCCATTCTCCTGCCTCAGCCTTCCGAGTAGCTGGGATTTCAGGCGCCTACCATCACAACCGGCTAATTTTTTGTATTTTTAGTAGAGACAGGGTTTCACCATGTTAGCCAGGTAAAGTTATCTTTAAAATTTGGCACTTAATAGTTACTGGTTTCCCATAGAAAAACATTAGGAATTAACTGTTGAGAATTTTTTTTAAATAGAAAAGGATTTTTTTTATTATAAAATTCACAATGAAATATACATCATCATCCTCTTTAGAATTGGGCTGCAAATTTGGCACCTATTTATTCAAAAACAAGCATTGTTTTAAGGAGAAAATTATTACTGTATTTTAGAAAACCAAAATAAAATCCCCATTAATGAAAAACGGAACTGGAAAACAGTGTCATGAATTGAGCAGTTTTATATGATCCATTTTTTAATGAATAATAAGTTTGGCCTTAAAATAGACATTGCTTTTTCAGATGTTAGCACTGGTTTGACATCTTAAGTCTCTAACCTCTAGCAATGCACATAGAAAGTGTTCCCCCTTCCTGGTGGTGCCTTTTGCTTTTACACACTTTGTGGTGCTTGATTTTATCATAGTTACATATTCTGCAGAGCAAAAAGAAGCCCCCTGGAAACACAAGGATGGTATCCAGGCCCCCCTAGATTCCTGGGGGATCCACAGTCTGGATTGCTCTCTGAAACTGGGTAGATGAACCATCAACCCTCATTCTCAGTTTATGTCACGTTTAGTATCGTGTGTAATAGAGGCTTTACCTAAACACGTTTTCCAGGAAGTGCCTGGCACTGTGTGAGTCTGGCGGCTGAGTGGTCAGGAGTGTAGTAGTGGCTCTAAGCCAGCCTCACAGCCCTTTCTCATTTCTCGCTCCATCCCCCACCCCATTCATTTCCAGGCCTTTCCACGAAGAGTCCTCAGCCTTCTCCCTCCAGCCGGAACAGCCCCCTGAGTCTGAGCCCTGCATTTCAGGTGCCTTTGGGCCCAGCTGAACAGGGCTCATCCCCACTCCTGAGCCCTGTCCTCAGTGATGCTGGCGGAGCTGGGATGGACTACGAGGAGCCGAGACACAAGGTGGGCCCCTCGAGGCTTGAGAAGCTAGCAGAGGGTTGCCGGGTGGATGGACCTGTGCTCACTGTTCCTTGGGGTGGTGCTGGTGGGGACCCCGGGGTGGGGCAGGGAAGGGCCCTGCACTCACAGCCGCCCTACCAGCGTCCTGAGCAGAGAGGAGGTGCTGGGCCACCTTCCCTAGCAAAATCTTCCTGAGACTTTCCTCTTATGTCTGGGACCCCAGGTTCCTTCATACAAAAACAAGTTTCCTTGTTCATTTAGCAAACAGTTTCCTGGCACCCACAGGCTCCATGTGTCAGGCTGGGTCCTGGGACTGAGTAGGCACTTCTAGCCTCCCCCACTCTTCCTTCCTTCCTCCCTTCCTCATTTCTCCCTCCCTTCCTCCCTCCTTGACTCCTTTCTTCCCTCCTTGCTTGGTCAAGCTTCTACTTTTAACAATTGAGTAACCGGGAGGAAAGATCTGGGTGCTAAGGGAGGGTCCACCAGGGACCCCTTTGGGTTCTGGAGAGGCTCTTGGGTGGGAGACCCTGTGGACAAGGAGGTGCCCTGGGCCAGATGTTGGAGACAGTGGAGGAGCCACCTGTGGGGAGGGGACAGTCCTCTGCTGTTGTGGCAAGGGGAGGGGTACATGGGCCACAGGCAGGACTGAGGGTTTATGACAAAGTTGAGGCAGTGTCCCCTGTGGGTCTCCTTTTACCGAAGATGATAGGAATAAGGGCACAAACTGAGAGTCTGCAAGGAGAAAGTGACCCAGCAGAGAAGCTCGCTGCTGGCAGACACAGGGCAGCCAGGGCAGGGAGGCTGTGGCCTCAGGTGGCCTCCACTCTCCCAGCCCATTGGAGTCTGCCTACAGCTACGGTTTTGCAGATGGGCCCTAAAAGAAGAGACTCAGGGTCCAGGGAGTTTGCGGAGTATATTGGGCCTGGAGTCCACAGAGAAGGGAGACACAGGGTCCCTGAGTGGCAGCTGGATGGGAAGCGGCCATGGGGCCTCTAGGAGGGAGGCAGTCAGTGCTGGTACAGGGGGAGGCGTGTCATTGTGACACCTCAGCACTCCTGCTTTGGCCTGAATTGGCCAGAGGATATTCTGTCCAAGGCCTGCCTTCCAGATGGCAGGGCTACCCGTGGGATACTGGGACTCTCAGCAGGTGGGATGGCACAGGCAGGGCAGGCTCTTCCTTCCCTGTGCCCTGGGGGTCCCTGGATCCCACTGGAATGGAAGGAGCCCCCTGGTCTGGAGGCAGCAAAGGACATTAAACGTGCTGCTGTGTGAGGCCTGAAGGTGAGGGCTGGTTCTGGGTCCTGGCAGCAGACTGTTTCCAAGAGAGATGTCTTTTTATTTTATTTTGGAAACCTAATGACAGTCTCTTTAGTTCACTGTTTCTTCGGTACAAAAACAAAAAATGGCTACCAGGCAGTCTGTTATTAAGACTAAATTTTAATTTGTAACTTTTTATATTATGAAAATCAATTGATTCTTTAGATGGTTCTATAGGGTGACAGCTTGTCACATCTGAGGATAATTGGGCTGGTGGCAGGTGGCCCTGGGAGAAGCCTGTTAGTCACGACGTGGCATGGGGCCAGCAGCATGACAAGGCCCTCTGGGATGGGGGCACCTCAGGGTCCTCACAGAGCCGTGCCCTTGAGGAGTTGGTGGCTGAGTCACTGCAGAGAAAGATTCAGCAGTCCTTGGGCCCAGCCCCTGCGTGTGGGCACCTTCAGCCCTGACGTGGTGTCTCCTGTTACCTCTCCTCAACACCTGGGCTCTGGAGGGAGGGCTCTGGGCTCTGCTTCAATTCTATGTGTGTGAGCTGACATAGCAAGGCTAGTGCCCAGCACAGGTGGGCTCTGAGATGGCAAGGATGGCCCCTTCATCACATGCAGGGGCTGCTGGTTTGACCCGGAGGTAGGTTTCCACCAGAGTACCCCTCTGTGCTGACCTCATGAACCAGTGTCTCCAGCCAGGCTGCAACAGGTTCTGGGGAGACCCCGGCCCCAGATTCACTGACGACTCTGCTGGCAGAGCCTGGCAGACCACTCTCCTGGGGGAACCAGGGTGACACAGGGGTCTGAGAACCACGTGCTGCCATTGAGGCCGCCCGTCAAGCTTTTGCACTTGCACCCAGTTGCTTGGTTGTGCCGGGAGGAGCAAAGAGCTTCCCACCCTCCAGCCCACCCACGCCAGCTTGTGCCCTCCTCCCCAGTGTCTCCCACTTGATGCACCATTTGTCGCCTTTTTAATAGAGATTTGTGAGGATCAGCAATAGTCGAAAGGTAGGAAAGCCAAAGGTGGCAGAAGCCTCTTCCATGCTCTGCATGGGCACACAGACCCTTCCTGTGGGGACAGGTGGTGAAGTTCACAGGAATTGCACGCTCCTCTGGGGCTGTCCCTGGCCGCCCTCTCATCTCTGGCCTGTAGCCCAGCGTACTGGGGCCTCAGGTTGGACATTGATCTGGAGGTGGGGGCAGAGTGGCAGCTGCTGTATTTTCTGTCCCTGAGAGTCTCCTTATGGCATTCCTTGGGCTGATGAGGCGGGGGCGGGGGCGGGGGCAGGATGGACGGCCCTTCTCTTGGCCACTCTGCTCCCCTGACTCCCCTGTGACCCAGTGGTAGCACCTGTGATGAGCAGTCTCATCAGCGACTGCTGTGGCTCTCTGATGGTGTTTGTGTCTGTGAGCCTCACCCATGGAGGAGTAGAGCTGCTCCGGGACTCGAGCGTCCTGTTCCTACAGAACAACATTCAGAGTTAGGACATTGCTTTTGGACTCCATGCCAAGGTGACTGTGGCTAGGAAGTCGTCCTCCCTATACCAGACTCTCCCCCAGGGCCCAAGGCCAACAGTTTGTGGGGCATTAACATGCAACATCCCTGTCCCTCAGCTGTGTGGGGAAGGCTGGGGCCTCGCAGACCATAAGCATGGGCCTCTGGGAACGGGACCAGCTCTGACCCCAGAGAATTCACTGGGCATATCAAGCTCTCTCTCTTTTTTTTTTTTTTTTTTGAGACAGAGTCTCGCTCTGTCGCCCAGGCTGGAGTGCAGTGACGCAATCTTGGCTCATTGCAAGCGCCGCCTCCCAGGTTCACACCATTCTCCTGCCTCAGCCTCCCGAGTAGCTGGGACTACAGGCGCCCGCCACCACACCCGGCTAATTTTTTGTATTTTTAGTAGAGACGGGGTTTCACCATGTTAGCCAGGATGGTCTCGATCTCCTGACCTCGTGATCCGCCCGCCTTGGCTTCCCAAAGTGCTGGGATTACAGGCATGAGCCACCGCGCCCGGCCAAAAAAGTCATTTTTAATATCATGAAGCTCAAAAAGAAAAAATTTTTAAGCCTAAAGGCTGGAAAGGTGGTTCAGCTTCTCTGCGGTGAGGAGGCCATTGCACCAAGAGGTGGGGACTGAGCTGGTACACAGTGGCAGGGCTATGGGAGCCAGGCAGACTGCCAGCCATGGGGAAGAGCTGAGAGAACAGCAGTGGACGTGTGCAGGACTCTGGCAGGGGAGGCACAGCACCTGGGCACTGGAGGGCTCCAGGCAGCAGCATCTCGGCGGGCTATCCCTTCACAGCTGGCCATATCCATGGGCTCAGCACTCACAGGATAAATGTGCCTCTGTCCTCTCATCCACGAGGGGTGGACAACCCTGCAGGCTGTGCTGAACTTCACAGCAGTACAGGGAGGAAGACATGACCCCACATGCCACCTCAGCTGCTTGCTCACTTGCAGACCCAGCTCCTGATATTCCTCCCAAACCTCCAGTCATGGCAGCTGGTCTTTTCCTTGGCTTAGGCCAAAAACTGTTGCAGTCACCCCTCCTGCCTCCAACCCTCACGCCTTAACTCCACACTGGAATCAGGTTGGCTCAACCTTCAGAATGTGTCTAGGATCTTACCCCTCACCCCTCTGGGTCCCCCAGCCAGGGCTGTCTCACCGGCTGGTGCCGAGGTCCTCTGGGAGCCTCTCTGCCCTCCTGATCTACTCTCATCCTGGGGCCCAAGTGCATCACAGCACATTCAGGTAGACCCCAAAGGGTCCAGAAGGCCCACATGGCCTGCCTTCCCCACCAGTAGCCTGTCTATTCCCTCTTACCTCCCCACCTTGCTCCAGCCGCTTGACCTCTGACCTGCCCCACGGGCTGACCTGTCCACGCTGAGTGAGGCTGCGGCCTGCCACATCCCCCAGCCTCCAGTCCCTCCTCTGCTCTGCATTGTGTCTTGTACAGCCCTCTGTGCTGCGATGTGTGACTGTGTGTGTTGCTTCTTGCCTGTCTTCTCCTGGTAGGACACCCTCACAGGGGCAGGGGGCAGTGTCCAGGCCCCTGATCGGAGCTGACACCTGCTCCATGGGTATTTGCACGGCCCACCTGCCCTGAAGCTGGCCACAGTCTGGTGGTGGGGCAAGCAAGCTGCCAGGGTAGAGCAGGATCATGGTTTCTGGGCAGTGGGAGAGGGCGGAGAAGAGGCTGTTAAGTTGCACCTCAACAGAGGGTGGCTCTTGGAGGGTTCGGGGTGGGGAGAGGCCCTCCAGGGACAGGACCCAGTGCCTGCCGAGGCCATCATGAGGCATGTGCTTTGCCAGGAACACTGTGTTGGGTGAGGTGTAGAGGGTCCCCCACAGCCAGCTTGCCTGCTCGGCGCCAGCACCTTGGGCAAAGATAGCCCTGCCGGCTATAGGAGTGCTCAGGGCTGGGCTATCTCCAGCAGGGCACAGAAAACGGCCTGGGGTATGGTCCACATCTGCATCAGGAAGTGCACCGGCAAGCCTGGCGCTCTGACGCAGGCACACTTAGAATGCACACTGTTTGCTCTTTTTAATGACTTTTGTATGGGTTAGGTTTAATAATTTTTAAGCACACACACACTCATGGACCTGTGTCTGCTGACCAGCTATGCCACTGGCAGTGATATACAAAACCAGTAATAAATTTCAGCCCTGTTTACATATGGTGATATTTGAACAGCAATTCTTTTCTCCAAAAGAATAACAGGATTATGTTTTTACTCAGGGATAAATCCCTTCAGAAGTTGAAGATGAAAATCCCCTGACGATGTTAACTTGAGCAGAAGAAAGCAAACATTACAAACTTCAGGCTGCCTGAACACAGGAGGGTCCCATGTCCCATGGATGCACACTTACAGCTCTCTGCTTCTTTCAGCGCATGCCTGCAGACGAGGCCTACTTCATAGTCAAGGAGATTCTCGCTACAGAACGAACATACCTGAAGGATTTAGAAGTTATTACCGTGGTACGAAAGTCCTTGATTACTTTTTTTTTAAATAAATATCTCATCTGAACACAGATAAATCTTTTGTTTGTTTGTTTGTTTTTTGAGATGGAGCCTCACTCTGTCACCCAGGCTGGCGTGCAGTGGCGTGATCTCAGCTCACTGCAACCTCCGCCTCTTGGATTCAAGTGATTCTTCTGCCTCAGCCTCCCTAGTAGCTGGGATTACAGGTGCCCACCACCACACCCAGCTAATTTTGTTTATTTAGTAGAAGTGGGGTTTCACCATGTTGGCCAGGCTGGTCCCAAACTCCTGACCTCAAGTGATCTGCCCAAAGTGCTGGGATTACAGGCGTGAGCCACCACGCCCAGCCAAGAAATATCTCTTGATAATCGTGAGACTTGGTATGTATATATTTTTGTTAAATATATCTGCCTTAAAACATTTATTCTAAGTCCAGTCAGAACATTGGATCCAAGTTTTTGTGGAGCTATAAAGCTGCAAAGTGTCCATTTGAAACTTTTGATGTAGGATAGTTTCATTATATTTGATCAACAAAGAGGATAGCTGTAGGGCTGGTCTGAACCCTCATTGAAGGTGGTGACTGGAGGGTCATTGCAGGGTGTCCTATGGCTACAGGCCCTCAGGGGCACAGTTTCTCAGTCCCCAACAAGAGCCATGCCTTCCATCACACCGCACTCTTCCCACAGTGGTTCCGCAGCGCAGTGGTGAAGGAGGACGCCATGCCTGCGACTCTGATGACACTGCTCTTCTCCAACATCGATCCCATCTATGAGTTCCACAGAGGCTTCCTGCGCGAGGTGGAGCAGAGGCTGGCACTCTGGTAACACCCCTTCGGCCCCCAGGTCTTGGACCCCCACACAGGAGACTCCCACACCAACTCATCATCACAGCTCTTAGGAGCTTCCCAGCTTCAGAAACTAATTCAGAAGAGCCATTTTTTCACTGGAGTATATTTTTAGGAGCCTGCGGAGAGGTACAGATATAATAATACCCTTTATTCACCCTCTTCCAGAAAAGAGAGTGCAAGGAGCAAGTTAAAAATAGAAGATCCCTTTTTGCCTGGTTACCGTCTGTTTTAGAGAATGGCCAGACACATAATAGTAGCTTCCATCCAGGGCAGGCCCTGCCCTGCGGCCTCTTCCACCTCAGAGCTTCACAACCTTCTTCCAGCTGGAACCAAGGCAACTGTCACCCTGCATCTGATTACAGTGCCTTCTGCAAGCTTTCACCATGTTTAGAATGACTTTGTTTCTTTTTACTCAGGGAAGCGCCCTCCAAAGCCCACACAAAAGGCGGCCATCAACGAATCGGGGACATCCTGCTCAGGAACATGCTCCAGTTAAAGGTAGGCTGCATGGTGACTGCTGCCTACACGAGTGCTGTTAATGGGAGCAAAACCACGGTCCCGAAGCTGAGGCCCCTCAGAACAACATCCCCTCAGAAAAGGGTCCCCTCAGAACAGGATCCCCTTCAGAGTAGGGTCTCCTCAGAACAGGGTCCCCTCAGAGAAGGGTCCCCTCAAAGCAGGGTCCCCCCAGACCAAGGTCCCCCTCAGAGCAGGGTCTCCTCAAAACAGGATCCCCCCAGACCAGGGTCCCCCTCAGAGCAGGGGCTTCTCAAAACAAGGTTTCCTTAGAGCAGGGTCCCCCTCAGAGTGGGGTCTGCTCAAAACAGGGTCCCCTCAGAGCAGGGTCCCTCAGAGCAGGGTCCCCCTAAGAGCAGGGTCTCCTCAGAACAGGGACCCCCTCAGAGCAGGGTCCCCTCAGAAAAGGGGTTTCACAGAACAGGGTCCCCTCAGACCAAGATTCCCCTCAGAGCGGGCTCCCCTCGGAGCAGGGTCCCCTCAGAACAGGGGATCCACAGAGTGGGGTCCCCTCAGACCAGGGGCCCCCTCTGGAGTCTTCTCAAAACAGAGGCCCCCTCAGAGCTGGGTTCCCCTCAGAGCAGGGGCCCCCTCAGGGCAGGGTATCCTCAGAACAGCATCCCCTCAGGGCAGGGGACCCCCAAAACAGGGGCCCCCTCAGAAAAGGATCTCCTCAGAACAGGGTCCATCTCAGAACAGGATCCTACTCAAAGCAGGGTGCTCCCAGAGCAGGGTTTCCCCAGAGCAGGGCCCTCTCAGAACAGGGTCTTCTCAGAATAGCATCCCCCTGAGGCTCTCAGAAGAGGGTTCCCTCAGAGTAAAGTTCCCTCAAAACAGAGTCCTTCTCAGAGCAGCAGCCCCCTCAGAACAGGGTCCCCTTTGAGCATCATTCCCATTAGAACAAGGTTCCCCCAGAACAGCATCACCCTCCAAACAGGGTCTCCTCAGAACTGCATCTTCCTCAGAACAGGATCCTACTCAGGGCAGGGTCCTGCTCTGGATGGGGTCTCCCTCAGAATCTTGTTTCCCTCAGAAAAAAGTCTGGCTCAGGGCAATGTCCAGGGCCCCATCAGGACACTGATTCCCTCAGAACAAGTTCCCTCCTCACCACATCCCCCTCAATAAGGGCTCTCCAAGAATAGGATGCCCCTGGAAACAGCATACCCCTCACAACAGGGTCCCGCAGAACATGGTCTCCCTCCAATCAGAATTACCCCCAAAACAGACTCCGCCTTAAAACATGGTTTGCCTTAGATCACGGCCCTTACCAGCCTCAGAACATCGTTCTCTTCAGAACCTTTTTCTCCACTGATGAGCATTCCCTTGAGGACAGTGTCCCCATTTCCATCAGGACAGGACTCCCCCAGAACAGTGTTCACCTCAGGGCAGGATTCTCCCCCAGAACATTGTCCTCCTCAGAATGGGTCCCCCGAGACCAGCATCCTCTTCAGAACAGGGCCTCCCTCAGATCAGGGTTCCCCACAGAACAGAGTCTTCCTCAGAGCATCATTCTCAGGACAGAGTCTCCCCTCCCCAGGACAGGGCCCTCACTGTGTCCCACATAGCCAACTGCAGCCCTCCCATCCTCAGTTCTTCCTCTGTCCAGTGAGGAGACGGCCCTGATCCACTCAGTGCATGTAATATGAGGCCAGTTAGTGATGCACATAGCAGTGACTCTAGTTGGAATGAGGTACAGGTCACATGGCATCTGAGACGGGTTGAGATGCATTCCTTGGAGGCTAGAAAGCCCCCACTGGCGCACACTGGGCCACCGGTCAGTTTGCCCTGTGGGGATTTCCAGCCGGCGCCTACCATCAAGGAAAACAGGCCAGTCTCCCCCTGGACCCCTACATCTCCTCACCTAAAGGCCCCACTCTTGCGACTCCACAGGAGTTTACCAGCTACTTCCAAAGACATGACGAGGTCCTAACAGAACTGGAAAAGGCTACCAAACGCTTTAAGAAGTTGGAGGCGGTGTACAAGGAGTTCGAGCTGCAGAAGGTCTGCTATTTGCCTCTCAACACGTTCCTGCTGAAGCCCATCCAGCGGCTGCTGCACTACCGCCTGCTGCTGCGACGCCTGTGTGGACACTACACTCCCGGTCACCATGACTACGCCGACTGCCATGGTGAGTGTGGGTGCGGCCCTGCATCTCGAGGATCAGATCAGTGGCTGGGAGGCAGGGGCGGCTTTGCTAGACCTGAAGACTTCCTTCACTGGGAAGCGCAGGAGTCCACCTCATTAGGGCCTGGACCATAGTGGTCAGCACTGGCCCTGGCCTTGCCTCCCGTCTCCTCTGGCTGCTGGCAGAGGGCAGGTCCCAGGCTACACCAGGTCTCTGCCTCTTCTGCTCCTCCACCCGCAGGCAAGGCCCTGCCCATCTCCACTTCTGAGCAGTGTGGGGAATGACTCTGATTGCCCTGCAGGGGTCACAGGGCATGCTTTTGCTGGGGACCGCAAAGCCCCCACAAGTACACTGGGGAATGGGGTGCAACCCCCAGAGCAACCTGCTGCCTATGGATGTTTCTGTCCTGGAGGCCATGGCTCTACAACATACAAAAGATTGGGCCAACGCGACCTGTTAGAAGGTTTCAACATAGACAGCCTTTGTAATTGTTGATGTTTATTAAAGGGACAAAAGAGTAAACTCTGATCTTTTTAATCTAAAAATATGATTTCTAATTTTATTGTAAATTTAGTCCCCTCTTCTGAGGTGACTCAGTCATGAGAGGGACACTGCTCTAATGGGGACCTATTCTGATGGGGATGTGGTCTGATGGGAACTTTATGCTCATCAGGAAATTTTTTGTTTTTGTTTATATTTTTTTGTTTTTTGTTTTTTGAGATGGAGTCTCCCTCTGTCACCCAGTGGTGCGATCTTGGCTCACTGCAAGCTCCGCCTCCCAGATTCACGCCATTCTCCTGCCTCAGCCTCCTGAGTAGCTGGGACTACAGGCACCTGCCACCAAGCCAGGCTAATTTTTTTGCATTTTTAGTAGAGACGGGGTTTCACTGTGTTAGCCAGGATGGTCTTGATCTCCTGACCTCGTGATCTGCCCTCCTCGGCCTCCCAAAGTGCTGGGATTACAGGTGTGAGCCACCGCACCCAGACTTTTTTTTTTTTTTTGAGATGTAGTTTCACTCTTGTCGCCCGGCTGGAGTTCAGTGGCACAATCTTGGCTTACTGCAATCTCCTCTTCCCGGGTTCAAGTGATTCTCCTGCCTCAGCCTCCCGAGTAGCCAGGATTATAGGCGCCCACCACCACACCCAGCTAATTTTTGTATTTTTAGTAGAAACAGGGTTTCACCATGTTGGCCAGGCTGGTCTTGAACTCCTGACCTCGTAATCCGCCTGCCTCAGCCTCCCAAAGTGCTGGGATTACAGGTGTGAGCCACCACATCAGGATGTTTTTACAAGTAAATTTTATCATTGTCATTAAAAATAGATGAAAAAATACTTAGCATTTCCTCTAGCTGGTTTCCCATAGCCATGAATGGATATAAATAAGGATGCTTTCTAATTAGCAAGAAATAGAATGGATCATAAAGTGTTGATGATTCTCTTTCTTTTCGTTCTAGAAGAAAATGTTTCATGTTTGCTAAAAAGAAGAAGGACAAAATTATAGAAAACATTTTCAAACATTTTAAGAAAAACATGAAATAACCACACCATGTTTAAAATGTTTCTTGTTGTCAGTCATTATACCACAGTAGTTAGGTAGGCAGAGTGCTGGAGCAGAGAGAGGGTGGCCTGGACCCCGGGCGACCAGGGAAGACATGCCGTGGAGAAGACTGGAGCCCGGGTTCTGGCCACGTCTACCATGTGCTTGAGGGACATAGGATTTTGGAGGGATTCCTGTACCTCACAACATGACAGGTTTCTCATCAGTAAAATTTATAGACTGGTGCAAAACCTCTGTGAAGCTGTGTTTGTGAAAGTGCTTTGAGGTTGTCAATTCAACACAACATTGATAACCATCAGCCTCCCTAGGTTTGCTTCAGACCTCAGCCATCTCTGGAGAGCAGTGAGAGCCCAGTTGATGAAACATTCTCAGCTGACACTATGGCAGACTCCTTTCCCTCCATGACCCCACTCCCCAAATGTGGGACACAGGAATGCTTGTCAAGAAGGGCCTTCTTCAAAAATGGCCTTTGGTGTGCAAATGTTACCAGCCTCTTGGTCTTCCTGAAAACTTGAATAGAACTCTCTTGGACAAAAGGGAGTACATTTGTTGGGGCTGACAGAAGCCAGCCTTGCAGTTTTATTTATCCTTCATTTTGATGAGAGTTTCCAAGGGTGCTGGATGTTAAGTGTATGTTGTTGATTTGTTCTATCACGCACCTGCTCTGCCTGCTGCTGTGGGGGAACCTGTTCTGAGGGGGACCCTTTTCTGAGGTACTCAGTTACAAGGGGATGTGGCTCTCAGGGGGTTCTGTTCTGATGGGGATGTGTTCTGAAGGGATCTTGGACTGAGGGGAACCCCGTGCTGAGGGGACCCAGTTCTAAGGAGGACACTGCTCTGAGGAGATTCTATTCTAAGGGGACCATGGTTGGAGGTGGACTCTGTTCTGAAGGGGACAGTGTTCTGAGGGGGGACTCTGTTTTGAGGGAAACACTACTCTAAGAGAACCTTCTTCTGAGGGGGACCCTTTTTTGAGGGGAACACTGTTCTTAGGGGAACCCTTTTCTGAGGGGACGCAGTTATGAGGGAGACACTGCTCTCTGGGGATCCTGTTCTGATAGGGATGCGCTCTGAGGGGATCTTGGACTGAGGGGGACCCTGCTCTGAGGGGTCCATACACTGAGGAGACTCTATTCTGTGGGGACTCTGTTCTTAGGAGGATACTGCTCTGTGGGGACTCTGCTCTCAGGTGGATGCTGCTCTCAGGGGACCCTGTTCTGAAGAGACGCTGTTCACAGGGGATGCTCTGAGAGGACCTTGTTTTGAGGAGACCCTATTCAGAGGGGAACCCTGTCCTGGGTGCGCATTACCCTGATGGGACTCTTATGTGAGGGGAATGTTATTCTGAGGGGAACACTACCCTGAGAGGATCTTGTTCTAAGGGGGGAATAGTGTCATGGGGTCACATGTTCTGAGGAGGATGCTGTTCTGGAAGGGGACCCTGTTCTGTGGGGGATTCTGCTCTGACAAGGACCCTGTTCTGAAGAGACCCTGTTCTGAGGAGGATTCTATTCTGAGGGGTCTCTGTTCTGAGGGGGGGTCCTGTTCTGAGGGGGATGCTGTTCTGAGGGAACCCTGTTATAAAGGGATACTGTTCTGAGGGGACCCTGTTCCGAGCGGGATGCCATTCTGAGGGGACCCTGTTCTGCGGGGGATACTGTTCTGAGGGGGATGGTGTTGTGAGGGGACCTTGTTTTGTGGGGATCCTGTTCTGTAGAAACCCTGTTCTGAGGGGGATGCTGTTCTAATGGGACCTTGTTCTATGGAGGATTTGATTCTGTGAGGACCCTGTTCTGTGGGGACCCTGTTCCCCTGTTCTGAGGGGGTTGCTGGTTTTTTTGTTTTGTTTTGTTTTGTTTTGTTTTTTGAGACGGAGTCTTGCTCTGTCGCCCAGACTGGAGTGCAGTGGTGCGATCTCGGCTCACTGCAAGCTCCGCCTCCCGGGTTCCCGCCATTCTCCTGCCTCAGCCTCCCGAGTAGCTGGGACTACAGGCGCCCGCCACCTCACCTGGCTAATTTTTTTGTATTTTTAATAGAGACGGGGTCACTGTGTTAGCCAGGATGGTCTCAATCTCCTGACCTCGTGATCTACCCGCCTCAGCCTCCCAAAGGGCTGGGATTACAGGCGTGAGCCACCGCGCCCAGCCGGGGTTGCTGTTCTAAGGTAACCCTGTTCTGTGGGGCATCTTGTTTTGTGAGGATGCTGTTCTGAAGGGAACCCGTTCTGTCGGGATCCTGTTCTGAGAGGACCATGTTCTGTGGGGACTCTGTTCTGAGGGAATCCTGTTCTGAGGTGCCCCTGTTCTGTGGGGATTCTGTTCTGTGGAGGCCCTATTCTGAGGGTAGTGCTGTTTTGAGGGGACTGTTTTCTGAGGGGACCTTGTTCTTAGGGGGATCCTGTTCTGAGGGGGATGCTGTTCCATGGGAACCCTGTTCTGAGGGGACCATGTTCTGTGGGGAACCTCTTCTGTGGGGACTCTGTTCTGAGGGGGACCCTGTTCTGAGGGGATTCTGTTCTGTGGTGATCCTGTTCTGAAGGAATCCTGCTCGGATTCCTTGAGATACTGTTCTCAGGGGAACCTGTTCTGTGGGGATTCTGTTGTGTGGGGGATGCTGTTCTGAGGGGGATCCTGTTCTGAGGAGGGTGCTGTTTTGAGGGGACCCTGTTCTGAGGGAGATTCTTTTCTGTGGGGACCCTGTTCTGAGGGGACCCTGTTCTATGGTGTTCTGTGGAGATTCTGATCTGAAGGGACCCTGTTCTGTGGGGCATCTCATTCTGTGAGGACCCTGTTTTGTGGGGAACCTGTTCTGGGAGGACCCTGTTCTGAAGGGAATGCTATTCTGAGGAGACCATGTTGTGTAGAGATTTTGTTCTGTGTAGATGCTGTTCTGAGAGTGATGCTGTTTTGAGGGGACTCTGTTCTGAGGGGACCCTATTCTGAGGGGGATGCTGTTCTGAGAGGACTCTGTTCTGTGGGAATCCTGTTCTGAGGGGACCCTTTTCTGTGGGGACCCTGTTCTGAGGGAAATCCTGTTGTGAGGGGAAACTATTCTGAGGGAGATGCTATTCTGAGGGGACCCTGTTCTGTGGGGGATCCAATTCTTTGAGGACCCTGTTCTGAGGTAGATTCTCTTCTGTGGGGACCCTGTTCTGTGGGGATTCTGTTCTGAAGGGACCCTGTTCTGTGGGGCATCTCGTTCTGTGAGGACCCTGTTCTGTGAGGATTCTGTTCTGAGGGGACCCTGTTGTGAAGGGAATGCTATTGTGAAAAGACTGTTCTGTGGGGTTTTATTCTGTGTAGACCCTGTTCTGAGGAGACCCTGATCTGAGGGTGATCCTGTTTTGAGGGGACTCTGTTCTGAGGGGGATGCTGTTCTTAGGGGACCCTGTTCTGTGGGGATCCTATTCTGAGAGGACCCTGTTCTAAAGGGATCCTGTTCTGAGGGAAACCTGTTCTGTGGGGATTGCTGTTCTGAAGGGACCCTGTTCTGTGCAGCATCCTGTTCTGTGAGGACCATTCTGTTGAGAACCTGTTTTGTAGTGAGCATGTTTTGATGGGGATCCTGTTCTAAGGGGACCCTATTCTGAAGGGATCCTGTTCTGAGGGGCCCCGGTTCTATGGGGATTCTGTTTTGTGGAGACCTTATTCTGAGAGGAGTGATGTTTTGAGGGGACCCTGTTTTCAGGGGGATCCTGTTCTGAGGGGGGTGCTGTTCTGTGGGGACCCTGTTCTGAGGGGGACCCTGTTCTGAGCGGGATCCGGTTCTGAGGGCACCCTGTTCTGTGGGGGATGCTATTCTCAAGGGACCCTGTTCTATGGGTACCCTGTTCTAAGAAGACCCTGTTCTGAGGGGGATGCTGTTCTGAGGGGACCCTGTTCTGAGGGGGACGCTGTTCTGAGAGGACCCTGTTCTGAGGGTGATGCTGTTCTGAGGGGACCCTGTTCTGAGAGGATCCTATTCTGAGGGGGATGCCATTGTGAGGGGATCCTGTTCTGTGGGGATTCTGTTCTATGGAGACCTGGTAATGAGGGGACCCTGTTTTGTGCAGATTCTGTTTGGAAGGGATCTTTTTCCGAGGGGGATACTGTTCTGAAGAGACCCTGTTCTGTGGGGAATCCTTTTCTGTGGGGATTCTCTTCTGTAGAGGTTGTTTGTGGGGACCCTGTTCTGTGGGGATTCTGTTCTGAGGGAGACCCTGTTTTGAGGGGGATGCTGTTGTGAGGGGACCCTATTCTGAGGGGGATGCTATTCTGAGAGGTCCCTGTTCCGTGGGGACCCTGTTCTGAAGGGATCGTTTTATGTGGGGACCCTGTTCTCAGGGGGATTTTGCTCTATGTGGCCTCTGTTCTGAGGGTGATGCAGTTCTGAGGGGACCCTGTTCTGAGGGCATTATATTCTCTGGGGACCCTGTTCTGAGGTGGATGCTGTTCTGTGGGGATCCTGTTCTGTGAGGACCCTTTTTCTGAGGGAACCCTGTTCTACGGGGGATTCTGTTTGGTGGGCATCCTGTGCTATGTGGATTCTGTTCTGTGAGGACCCTTTTTTTTTTTTTTTTTTTTTTTTTTTTTTTTTTTTTTTTTGAGACGGAGTCTCTCTCTGCCGCCCAGGCTGGAGTGCAGTGGCCGGATCTCGGCTCACTGCAAGCTCCGCCTCCCGGGTCCACGCCATTCTCCTGCCTCAGCCTCCCGAGTAGCTGGGACTACAGGCGCCCGCCACCTCGCCCGGCTAGTTTTCTGTATTTTTTAGTAGAGACGGGGTTTCACCGTGTCGGCCAGGATGGTCTCGATCTCCTGACCTCGTGATCCGCCCGTCTCGGCCTCCCAAAGTGCTGGGATTACAGGCTTGAGCCACCGCGCCCGGCCGAGGACCCTTTTCTGATGGTGACACTGCTCTATAGTGACCCTGTTCTGAGGGGACCCTTTTCTGAGTGAGATGCTGTTCTGAAAGGACCCTCTTCTGAGGGGACCATGCTCTGAGGGGACCCTGTTCTGTGGGGGATGCTCTTCTATGGGGTCCCTGTTCTGAGGGGGACCCTTTTCTGAGGGGACCCTGTTCTGCAGGGGATACTGCTCTGTGGAGACCCTGTTCTGCGGGTTCTGTGGAGAATATCAAGGCAGATCAGGTGATGTATAGGATCATTATCATGCCATCAGGTCCAAAATGTGTCCTGAGCTTCCAGCAGCCGCCAGTCCCTACCGAGGTGCAGCACAGCATCCATGTGGCAGTCAGGCTCCCAGCCCTGCACTCTGTGGAGTCAGTATTTGAGGGCAGGGTGGCACTGGTGCTTGTTTGAGTGGACTCAAGCAGCCATGCAGCAAATGGGCATGGCATGATGAGTCTCTGCCTGACATGGTGTCTGGAAGGAGGGGCTCAGACCCAAGTGCTTGCAGGATGGCCAGCCTGGGAGAGCCAGGGGTTGGGGTCAGGAGCTTAGAAATCTGCACAGAGCAGTAGGGTTGGTAGCTGCCAAGACCTATGCTGGATTCACTGAAGTTCTTCCTTGTTTTCAGTGTCATGCAGGTGTCTTTGACGGAAAGTGAATTTTGTCAGTCAATTTTGTTTGTCAATGATGACCTCTTCACGTACTTCATTCTTTTCTGACTTTATCTTCTGAAAGCTGTAAGGGACTGTTGTCACCCCCACTGGAAAGGATAGAGCTGGAACAGTCAGGTGACTTCATGCTAACAAATCTTCCCAGGGCTAGAGCTGAGCACTGGGGAGTGCTGGGTGAGGGGTGTGGACCTTGTCATGGAGAAGCTTTGTGGCCCGGAAGTAAGAGGGAGTCATGATAGAAACAAGGCAGAAGGTGGCCGGGCATGGTGGGTCACGCCTGTAATCCCAGCATTTGGGGAGGCCAAGGCGAGTAGATCATCTGATGTCGGGAGTGGGAGAACAGCCTGGCCAACATGGTGAAACCCTGTCTCTACTAAAAATGCAAAAAATTAGCCAGGTGTTGTGGTGGGCATCTGTAGTCCCAGCTACTTGGGAGGCTGAGGCACAAGAATTGCTTGAACTTGAGAGGCAGAGGTTTCAGTGAGCCAAGATCGTGCCACTGCACTCCAGCCTGGGAGACAGACCCTGTCTCAAAAAAATAATAATAATTAATTAATTAATTAATTAAAAGAAAGAAGGGGGAAGGTGGTCCCCATGAGTGATTCCAGCAAGGAGGATGCAGACCCTGTGCTCCAGGCATCATCAGAGGTGGGAGCAGGCTCAGCTACGCTACACCACCACTCTCAGCATGGCCTCAGAGCTGGGCAGACTACTCTTGGTATAACTTTGTGTTTTAAGTTTCATGTCCAGATTATAAACTTTCTCTTACCTTTGCTTGAACTGTAAGACTGGCATCTGTTCCTGGTTAAAAGAGAAAATTACAATTGCTTTGAAGGTGCAAATCATTTAGCCTTTAAAGTACAATAAATCATTTTCCTTTAAGAGCAAATACTGCCTTACCCATAACATTAAATCATTATTTACAAAGCCTATCCTTTTTGCCAAACCAGAATATGGGCTGGCCAACAGTTTGGGTTGAACAACCTGAAGGCCTCAGGGGTATCTGCAGGAGCAGGCACCTGGTGGCTGCACATAGTAGGCAGCAGTCCTATAAGTCCTATAAGGCAGGGATCCCCAGCACCCCTGGCCATGGACTAGTACCAGTCCAGTCCATAGCCTATTAGGAACCAGGCCGCACACCAGGAAGTGAGTGACCGGCAAGTGAAGCTTCTCTTTATTTACAGCCACTCCCCATTGCTTGTATTACCACCTGAGCTCCTCCTCCTGTCAGGTCAGCAACATTAGATTCTCATGGGAGCACAAACCCTATTGTGAACTGCGCGTTTGGGGGATCTAGTTTGTGTGCTCCTTATGAGAATCTAACAAATGCCTGATGATCTGAGGTGGAACAGTTTCATCCCCAAACCATTCCCACCACCCCTGGTCTGTGGAAAAATAGTCTTCCATGAAACCTATCCCTGGTACCAAAAAGGTTGGGGACCGCTGCTATAAGAAGTCAAGTAGGATGTACCTCTAATTAAAACTGCCTTTTAGAATGCTGGTTTTTGTCACAAGGTGGTGGGTAGAGGGTGCTGTGCACACCACTGCCTGTACACCTATACTGAGGGGTCTCTCCACACAGATGCCCTGAAGGCCATCACAGAGGTGACTACCACACTACAGCACATTCTCATCAGGCTAGAGAACCTGCAGAAGCTGACGGAGCTGCAGCGGGACCTGGTGGGCGTAGAGAACCTCATTGCTCCTGGCAGGGTGAGTGACCTTACTCTGGGAATGTTTTTTGAGCTACTTTGTTTTTTTAATTGAGATATAATTTACATACCACGAAAGTCACCCTTTTAAAATGTATAATTTTGGCCAGGCACAGTGGCTCATACCTGTAATCCCAACACTGGGAGGCTGAGGTGGGAGGATTGCTTGAGCCCAGGAGTTCAAGACCAGACTGAGCAACGCGGGGAAACCCTGTTTCTATGAGAATTTTAAAAAAAAAGAATTGCCGGGTGTGGTGGCACACACCTGTGGTCCCAGCTACTCAGGAGACTGAGATGGGAGGATTGCTTGAGCCAAGGAGGTCGAGGCTGGAGTAAGCCCTGATCACACCACTGCACTCCAGCCTGACAACAGAGCAAGACCCTGTCTCCGTTAAAAATAGGTAAATACGGCCAGGCACAGTGGCTCACGCCTATAATCCCAGCACTTTGGGAGGCCAAGGCAGGCGGATCACCTGAGGTCGGGAGTTTGAGACCAGCCTGACCAACATGGAGAAACCCTGTCTCTAAGAAAAATACAAAACATAAGCAGGGCGTGGTGGCGCATGCCTGTAATCCCAGTACTCAGGAGGCTGAGGTAGGAGAATCGCTTGAACCCAGGAGGTGGAAGTTGCAGTGAGCCAAGATCACACCATTGCACTCTAGCCTGGGTAACAAGAGCGAAACTCTGTCTCAAAATAAAATAAAATAAAATACATACATATATACATACATACATACATACATACATACATACATACAAAAAACGTATAATTGAGTGGGTTTTAGTATCTTCACAAGGTTATGCAGCCATCAGTATCTAATTCAGAACATTTTCATCACCCCAAAATGAAACCCCCACACCGATTAATAGTCACTTCCCATCGCTATTTTGAAGGGGACCCTGTTCTCAGGGGACTCTGTTCTGAGGTAATCCTGTCTGGGTGGGGATGCTGTTCTGTGGGGACCTCGTTCTGCTCCCTAACCCCTGGCAACCACTGATCTACTTTCTGTCTCTAAGGAGTTAACCTGTCTGGGCCTTTCATAGAAATGGTATCATACATTACTGTGGCCTCTTGTAACTGTCTTCTTTCACTCAGAATAATCTTTTCAAGGTTCATTCATGTTCCCTTTTTTTTTTTTTTTAATTTGAGACAGTCTCTCAAATTAAAGGTGCAGTCACCAGGCTGGGGTGCAGTGGCGCGATCTTGGCTCACTGCAACCTCCACCTCCCAGGTTCAAGTGATTCTCCTGCCTCAGCCTCCCAAGTAGCTGGGACTGCAGGCACATACCACTACCTCCAGCTAATTTTTGTGTTTTTAGTAGAGACAGAGTTTCACCATGTTGGCCAGGATGGTCTCAAGCTCTTGACCTTGTGATCCACCTGCCTTGGCCTCCCAAAGTTCTGGGATTACAGGCATGAGCCACCGTGTCCGGCCTCATGTTCCTTTTTGTGGCTGAATCATATTCCATCATGCATGTATCACATGTCTCTCCACTCATCTGATGGACACTGGGTTATTTCCACTTCTTGGCTGTTATGAATAGTGCTGCTGTGAACATTCATGTACAAGTTTTGTGTGGACTTAGGTTTTCAGTTTTGAGTATATACCATATGCAGGGTCATATGGTAATTCCATGTTTAACATTTTGAGGAGCTGCCAAACTGTTTTCCAAAGTGACTGAACTATTTTTTTTTTTTTTTTTTTTGAGACGGGAGTCTCGCTTCTGTCGCCCAGGCTGGGTGCAGTGGCGCGATCTCAGCTCACTGCAAGCTCTGCCTCCTGGGTTTACGCCATTCTCCTGCCTCAGCCTCCCAAGTAACTGGGACTACCAGGCGCGCCCACCTCGCCCGGCTAGTTTTTTGTATTTTTTAGTAGAGATGGGGTGTTCACCGTGTTAGCCAGGATCTCGATCTCCTGACTCGTGATCCACCCGTCTCAGCCTCTCCAAAGTGCTGGGATTACAGGCTTGAGCCACCGCGCCCGCGCACTGAACCATTTTTCATTCCCACCCACTTGTATGAACTTCTAGTTTTCCACATTGTGTGTGCACTTTTTGGTTCTAGCCATTTTAGTGAGTGTGTAATGCTGTCTGTGTGGTTACAATTTGTATTTCTCTGATGGCTAATGACATGAGCTTCTTTTAGTGCTTATTGGTCCATTTGTAGGCCTTTTTTGGAGAAATGTCTGTTCAGATCTTTGCCTACCTTTTATTTTATTCAGAATTTGCTAGGAACTCTTAAAACCCAAAAGTAAAAGACAACCTGTTGAGTTTTAAGGGTTCTTTATCATTCTGAATGCTATAGGAC